TAGCAGTCTGTTTTCTCCCCTCCCCCTTTCAAATTAAGATTCCTTTCAAGAAACGCTCATTGCGTCACTGTTTCTCATGGTGAACGTGGAAACGGCCATGTGTTCAGCAAAGACTCATGAGCAGAGGAGGCCCGAGGCCGACGGCCCGGAAGGAGCCAGGGCTCCTCCGGACGTGGTCGCCTCCCGGGACGGGGCAGGAGACCCCCGAGGGGAACCTGGGACTCCCTGTGGTACCGGACAGAAAGGGGGTGCTCAAGAGTGATGGGGCGGGTCAAAGGGCACCGGCGCCCGCTTGAAGGGCCTCCCAGGGGCCAATCGGGGGTGCGAGAGGCATACGAATGTTCGCAAATGACGTACTTTTTAAAAAACTTTTTAATGAAGGTATTTATTTTTTTTGAGTGGATTATAATCCTTTTTATAGACTTATGGGAATTGCCCCATAAAATACAACTGAAACAAGATATCCTACTATCTCATACTCATTGTGACCCTATTTTCTACAACAAAAATGTGAGTGCATTCATAAAGGTAGTTTAACAAAATATTTGAAATTAGAATGGCTTAAAAATAGGATGGGGGAGGTTAGGGGTGGAGGGATTGAGCGGAAAGGAACAAGGACTCATGGACGTGGACAACAGTGTGGTGACTGCTGGGGGCAGGGGGTGTAAGGGGACTCAATAGTAATGGGGAAAATACAATAAGGATTAGATCAAAAAATGTCTAGGCCGTATGGTTGATATATACAGACATATGTGTACATACACACACAGTGGCAGTTCCACATTTGGTCACCAGGTGGCACTTTGCCAATGTAAAGCCCACGAGAGAGGAAATTGATGACCACCAGGGTAAAAGGCCAAAGAGAAGCTCAGCATCACACACAACCTTGTCTGGCAAGCCCCCGCCCCCCACCCCGGGCCCATAGACGGGGTTCACCTGGCTGAACCCGTACTGTACTCCCATCCTGGCCTTGAGGTGTTTGGGACTTAACTTGCTCTGAGATTTGGGCTTAATTCGGAATGGACACCGCAGGCTAATCCAAGGAGGGTACTGTGCCGAGTTCAGGGGACCGGATGGAAGCCCGCAGAGCTCTGCCCCTACAGACGGAACTAAGAGAGGTTCCTGGTCCTTCTCCGACCCCCAGGCCTGGCAGGGCATAGCAAGAGTGCGGAACGAATGGGCAAATGCCTTGGTCCTTTGAAAGTAGTCTAGAGGAGAAACCTCCGTGTCTGCCAGTGACACCCGTTGGCGCATCTTGGGCAGAGGGTGAGCGGTGACCACCCCTGCCGCGGTGTTCTGGGACGTCATCACACCCCAAGTGGCCGTCCATGTCTTCTGCGGGTGCTGTTAGAGATTCCAGACTAGGACTTTGTCAGGCTGTGCTCCGAGAGAGCTTTTCCCTGAGAAGACCTGAGACGCTCCTGTTAAAATGTAGGGGGAGTGTGGCTCGGGTGAATTTCATGCGCACGGCCGCCCGAACAGAGGGTGTCGCCCGGGGGGCTCGGGCCAGCTCCAGGAACCCCACAGGCTTCTGTACCTTTTCCAGCGACTGTTGAACTGTCAGGCCTACACTCCACTCAGGTTTCTAGAACATCTGGGCTCACAACAGCCTGTAGACCGGCACTGTGGCCGTGGACGCAGAGCTTCGCTTCTGGATTTAAATCCTGGTCCTGCTGAGACCCTCGGCGATGGCATGGATCTTTTCTTTTCTTAAAGATTTTATTTATTAATTTTTCGAGAGGGGGGGAGAGGAGCATCAGTGGGTGGTTGCCTCTCACACACCCTCCACTGGGGACCTGGCCCGAAACCCAGGCAGGTGCCCTGACTGGGAATCGGACCAGCGACACTGGTTCACAGGCCGGCGCTCAGTCCACTGAGCCGCACCAGTCGGGGCGCGACATGAATCTTTGGAGTCTCCACTTCTTTATAAGCAGTGGGGGGTGTCGGTGCTGACAGCCCTCATCCATGCAGCCAACCAGCACGTTTTCGAGTCCCCCCCATGTGTCAGACGGGCCTCCAGGAATGCAGAGCCCGGTGGCCACAGCAGACACGAGGGCTAGTGAGCAGAACATTAAACAAGGACAGGTCTAGACTGGAGTTGGGTGACGGTGAGGGGGCGTGACACGGGGATGTGCTCAGTGCCACCAAGTGACATCCTAAGTGTGCTTAAGACGGTCAAGGGGGCATATTTTATGCGATGTGTATTTTATCATAACTTAATAAAGTACAATCGGCGGTAGGGGGGACGAGCAGGGCAGGAGAGAGCAAACGGGGGAAATTGAACAGTAAAAAAATGAAGTAAAATCAAAAAAGAGATCTGAAGAACCCAGCACAATGCCTGGCACATAGTAGGTACTCAGTAGAGGTCTTACTGTGTTAGGGAGCAAGTGCAGACCAGGCAGACCAGCTAGAGTCCTTCCTCCCGGGTGCCAGCTCCCGGCGGGCCCAGGCCAGGAACGGGAAGGCGGGCCTCCTCTGTCCCGCCCGCAGCCTGTGCCAGGCCGCAGCTGGGGGCGCCGCCAAGCCCTCTGCCTCGTCCTCGATCCCGCCTCCCGCTCAGTGAGGCTTCTGGGATATCTTTCCATTTCTCAGACGTCATTCTGGAGTAAATAAACTCGACAGCTGTAAAGGGCCCCTAAATGCAGCTTCTAGAATTCCATTTCACTTTTCATAATGAAGACAGGCGTTCGGTACAGACAGGTGGTCTGCCGGGGGCCTTACGAACCAGAGTGTGCGCGTCTGTACCTTTATGGCAGAGAATCAAGGCTCAGGTAGTATACTAAATGGAAGTCTGAGAACGCAAGGCTTTTGTGTCTCCTCGCCCCTCCCCTATTGTCATTCTCTTTTTGAAGGGCGTGGGGGACCCTTTTCTTTCTTTTTTTTCTTTTCTTTCTTTCACTCAGGAGGAGTTGTGTGGCTGACTCCCAAGTACCTGTGCAAATGTATATGATTAACTTTGCTGCTCCAGAAAACAATTTTTTTAATCCCAAAGTCATTTATTTTGGCTTTAGAATAGACTAGCATTTGTGTCGGATTTTCCTGCCTAATTACTTTTTGCTTAAGCTTATTTTAAAATTGTTCTAAATTCCTTCAGTGTGACAGGTGAGGGGAGGGGGAACGGGCCCCAGGTGGGGTCTGCCCTGGGGTTTCAGCGTCCTGGTTAAGAGCCTCCTGATACGCCCTTCATGGAAGAGAAAATTGGAATCAGCTTTCTGGAGAACAGTTTGGCAAAAATATTTTCAAAAGTCTTAAAAATATGCTTACTCTTTGATCCAGTAATTCCACATCTAGGAACTTGTCCTAAGGAAGTAATCAAACAAGCATGCAGAAATGTAGGAACAAGGCACTCACCACAACATTTATAGCGGCATAAAAAATACAAGAAAGTAAAACCAATGTATGTAAAACATTGAAGAATATGGAATTGATCAAATCAAACATGTTCCTATCATAACATGTGTGGTCATGTTGTCAAATTACAGACTTTAAAAATGTACGCCCTGCCTTTCTAAGGGAAAGAGAGACTATAAAACGGTACGTTCAGTTTGGAGCGGCCTGTGGATGCAAAGATGGGAGGATGGGCGGGGGCACAGATGGCTCCCGGGGAAGACCTTCCACAGTGTTAACTGTAGCAGCACCGAGTGGTACAATGGTGGCTGATTTTGTACTTTTTTGTGTTTTTCAAGTTTTCTGCTTGACTATGTATTGCTTTGTAATTAGAAAAGCCAACTATTGCCCTGACTGGTGGGGCTCAGTGGATTGAGCGCCGGCCTGCAAAGCTAAGGGTTGCCAGTTCAATTCCCAACCCGGGCACAGGCCTGGGTTGCGGACCAGCTCCCCAGTGGGGGACCCGGGAGAGGCAACCACACATGGATGTTTCTGTCCCTCTCTTTCTCCCTCCTTTCCCCTCTCTCTAAAAATAAGCAAATAAAATCTTTGAAAAAAGAAAAACCAACTATCATGTATTTTAAAAGAATACATGTTTAATGTATGAGTGAAAAAAAATAAAATGTTGTCATTCAATACCCACAAAGTGGGTCATTTGGACGCACATCTAACAATTTAGATTGAGTGCATTTTCTTAAGGGTCACGTTCATACACATGAAATATCAGCAGTCATATCAAGTCCCTCAGATGAGAGGCACTGCAGGTCGTGTGTTCCAAGTGAAACCACCACATTGAGCAGAAATCCATGAAGGCACCTCCGAGTGTATCGTGGGGGCCCGGTGCCAGGGGGTAGACAGCCTCTTCTAGAGCACACACACAGTCCAGTAGGTTCTCTATAACTTATAGGCAAAAATTGTTAATGCCCCCCAAAACATCAGAACAATCCTGGGAACATTTTAAATCGTTCTTAATCTTCTGAAGGCAGCTCCTGGTTAAATTTGTTGCCGTTTCTCCTTTCTCACGTCCTCACTGTCATCGACTCAAGAGTGAAAGTTAAGGTAAATGCTGGGCAACCACAAGCCTTTGACGCCCCAAAGGAGCCCAGGCTCGCGTTTGAAAAATGCAGCACAGGGCGGGATCGCGGGCTCCTCTCTGACCGGGTTCTTTTATTCACGGCTCTGAAATTCCTAAGACACCAGGCGGCTCCACGGAAGGAAAAACCTTGGAGGTCTGGCTCCCTGTCATCCAAGGTTGGATGGAAAAGCCTTCGGTGATTAACTCGGCCCGGTGTGTCGTTGGTCCTGGGAACTGCAGGAGGCGTTTTTGTTAGTTATCCACATTCTAAGCGCTGGCTCGGATAAGCCTCCCGGAGTGGGAAAAGCAGAGAAACCTTGCTTTCCTGACGCCAATTCAAAGCCCAGCTCTACTAGCTGTGACCTTGAGCAAGCTCACTTGCTGTGTCAGATGTCAGCATCCTCCCGCAGGTGGGAGGCTGGCGCCTGTCCCCCTCGCCTCGCGAGGCTGTTCTTTGTCTCCCACGCTGCCCCGTACCAGTAGGGGACAGTCATGGGTCTTTATAAACACACAGCCTCTCCTGCTCTGTTTCTGACAGTTTCCGTATGCTGCCCCCCCGCCCCAAGAGCCGGTGAAGACTTTGAGAAGCCTGATCAACATTCGGAAGGACACACTGAGACTCGTCAAGTAAGTCCCCGGCACTCGGGCTAGGGGCCAGGCCGGTGCCCTCCCTCGGGCGGGGCAGCCACGCCCCCGGAGCCCCTCAGGGCAGCTGTGCCGGCCCAGGGGCTGGCCCTCGTCTCCCAGGGCCGGGCTGTCTGCCTCTCGACTGCCCAGACTTCATGTCGTTCTCCGTGTTCCTTCCCTGCCTGGAAGCGGTGACCCTTGGCTCCATGGATTTTCTTAAAAAAAGAATTATTGAGGGAAAAAGTGAATGTGGCCGATACCTCAACGGGGCTGTGTAAAGATGCGGTATTTGCACTTGGAATCTGAAATCCTTATTTGTTGCCTATGTTTAGCATTTACATTTACCCTGAATCTATGTGCCCTTCCTCCCGCTGAGGAACGCGGAGTGGCCGGGGCTGGCTGCTTAATCTCCGTTGTCAACACTGGCGCTGGCGCCCCGTCTTTGGGCTGTCCCCAAGGCTGAGGCCACGTCAGCTTTAAACCCGAGCCGCCGCCCCCGCTAAGCGCATTGGCTCCCTGGGGAGACGGGTTTGGTCAAGGCCAACGGAAGTCCCGCGTTTCTCTGAGGACAAGGACGGTGGCTCCGACCCCCTTGTGCTTGTGTGGGTCAGCCTCGTTAGCACGAGGGGTTGGTTTCTCTCTGGTTGTTTTGCTTTAATATTTTCACTTTATTGAGCTATAGCTCACATACCATACAACTCGCGCATCTGAAGCAGACAGCCCAGTGCTTTTTAGTATATTCACAGAGCTGTGCCGTGGGCACTTTGTCTAATTTTAGAGTATTTTCTTTGCCCCCCAAAGACACCCCGTTCTCATTAGTGGTCACTTCCCATGTCGCCCGAAACCCCTCTTCCAGGCCCAAGCAGCCACTAATTTAGTTTCTGTCTCTCTTCCTTTTTATGCTTTATTTGTTTCTGAAGTTAATTTATTGCTTCCCTAAGTCCTCTTCCAGCCCTGGGGTCAGCTCTGGGGACAAGGGGCCAAGGAAGCGCCCCTGCTGCAGGACAGTCTCCGGGGACAGAACGGACTGAGGCTCCCGAGGCCACGGAGCCTCCAGTGGTCAGCTACTCTGTCCCCCCTGTGTCTGTCACCAGGTGACCTGCCCACGTGTTTGATGGGGGCAGGTGAGGGGCCGGAGCCACGGGGTGGCTGAGGCGGTCCTGGCCCCGGATGGGCCGGTGGGGCCACGGCTCTGGACCAGGTGGAGCGGCTGCGGCGCCAGGACTCAGCGGGGAGCAGGACACGGTGCGCCGCAGCCCCGGGGCTGCTTGCCTGAGAGTCGGGTTTCTCGTGGGCAAAAGGGGGTAACCACCGCGGCTTTCACGGCTGTCGTCAAAAGCGCACGAGATAATGGAAGGGAAGACACCTGGTGCTCAGTAACTGTTAGGGCGAAGGGCGCTTTTGTCTTGGTTTTCTGAGGGTATGGGGACAGAGTAAATTCCGAGTCTCATATTTCCGGGTGAGGATGGAGGGCTGAACATCTATTTTTGCTTTCTCTTAAAACTCCACTAAGGAGTACTTTTAAAAGAATAACCCACAAGAATTAGGAGACTGGGAAAGGGCCGGCAGAAACAAAATTCTCAAAGCTGGAAACAGATGGTGCATGTTAAGTTACTGAGCAGATCCAAGAAGTCTGAACCCTGAGCCAGCAAGAGGAAGCGCAGAGAACAGCCCAGTTTGTGTGGTGACATCCCCAGAGGCTGAGGGACTGGCAGTAGCAGGTACCTCTGGCCTTCGGCTGGAAGATGATCGTGAGGAGGTTCGATGGAACGTCTGCTTACAAGGTAGTCAGACCGCCCCTTACACGGCGCAGCCAGGACTCCCTCCCCACACCCTGCAAGCCTTTAGCGGAGAGGTTCAGAGGAGTCCTGGACTTGGGGGACCCCGGCTCGACTAAATGCTGGACGCTGCACTAACATCGGAGGGATAAGTGATTGTAGGCACACTGGGCCCTCAGCGCCCCGGGCTGTCCCCTGTCCCTACCCCCATAGTGCCCGCAGCCAGGCCTTTGTCAGAAAACAGAGGAATTGGACCCACCTGGGTGGAAAGACCAGAGGAGCCCGCAAGGAAGCCACGAGTCCCCGAGCCCCACTATGTACTCAGAGTTCCAGTCGGGTCTACGTTTCTTAAACAGAAGCAGGCAACCACGGATTCTCAGATGTGTAAGGAACGCCTGTAATGTGAAAGCCAGCGGCAAAACAAACTGACAGGGGGAAAAAAAACTAAGTGGAAATAAAAATTCTGCAGGAAGAGGGAAATTGCATGTGTAGCCTCAGACACAGAGAAGGTCCTGTCTTCTTATTCCATGCATGCAATGTCACAGAGCATTTTGGGAACAAAAAGGCCCTTAGAAACTAGAAACATGTTAGAAAACATCAGTGGAATGTTGGAGGAAAAGTTGAAAAATTCTGGAAAGTGAATAAAAAAGCAAAGATCTGGAAAACAGGGAAGGAGAGATACGGAGAGCAGAGCAGCAGCTTGGAAGGCTTAACGTCCAGCAATGCTTTGGGGGTGAGAACAGAGGACAGGGGAGGAAGGAAATCAGCAGTGACATGCACTATAAGAATTTTTAGCCCTGGCTGGTGTGGCTCAGGGGATTGGGCCTTGTCCTGCAAACCGAAAGGTCGCCAGTTCGATTCCCAGTCAGGGCACAAGTCTGAGTTGCAGGCCAGTAGGGGGCGCTTGAGAGGCAACCACACATTGATGTTTCTCTCCTTCCCTTCCCCTCCTTCTGTAAATAAATAAATAAATAAAGTCTAAATTGAAAGGACCACCGAGCACCTGACACCATGGACAACAGAAGAGATTCTGTCTCAAAGGAAAAATGGATCAGCTATTGGGATGGAGCTGAGACGATGTGGAGGCTGGATGATAAGGCAGCGACGCCTTGGAATGACTTTTTAAAGTATTTGTAACCAAGGATTCTTTACACAGCCAGACTTTCGATGAAGTCCGCCTGACTGTACAATGAAATCTCAGAAACTTTATCCCCCAACACGCCCTTTTCCGGGAAGCTACTGGAAGCCATGCTCCCCCCAAATGGAAGGAAGCCAGGGGAGGCGGGAAACAAGCGGCTCCCCAAGAGAGAGGCAAAGGGACGCAGCAGGGTGACGGGCGGGGAGGTCCCGGGGGCGGGGCTGTGTGCAGGGGCCAGGGCCCAGGGTCCAGGCAGAGCAGGCCGGAGGCTCCAGAAGGGCCGGCCTCAAGGAGACGAAATGCACAGAACACCTAGTGACGCTGAGCGTCCAGAGAGTTCGACAGCTCACAGCGAATTTGGATTTGAGTTAGGGATGAGGTACATAGAAAACTAAGCAACTGAGGAAAACAAAATGAGCACAAATGCTAAGGAAAATGTACACAGTCAAAAAACGATGATCAGGGACTCTGTGAATAATGTTGAGATATTCGCAGTACTGGAGGCGCTAATGGACTGAACAAATAAAATCAGGCTGTCGCTTCACTGGGGGGTGGGGGGCAGGGGACCCGCATAGGGCAGAGCAGAGCGGGCAAAGAAAGACGTCCCCGTTTCTGTATTAGGAAGTCAATCAATGATGCCCGAAGCTGAAAACACAAGGAGAAACGCAGGCACGTTATTTAGAAACAGGCCAGTAAATGGCCAGGAAGGAGCACGTGGAAGGGGTTTCCCTTGACGAGGTGGGAGGGGGAAGGAGTGGGGCCCCTGGAAACTATTAAACTATGTGAGGAATAACGGTGATTACAATGAAAACTAAAAATAAAGCCAGGCAAATGCACAGGGGAGCACTGTGAGACATCAGAAATCACCGAGCGCCCCGCAGCAGCGGCAGTGACGTCCCCTGTGGGCGTCCCCTAGGGAGATGCAGGCCAGAGGTCAGGGTCGTGGAGAGGAGCTCACAATATAAGTTTAAAAAAACATAAATTCAACAACGCAGCGACCTGGGTTGTCCCACCCTGGCAAATACCTAAGGCTCCACTCTTTCCAACGTAACAGGCACGCAGAGACACAGAAATAGCCCAAATGAAAGAACACATCAAAGCTCCAAAAATAGAACTAAGCCATGAACAGATAGCCAACCTATCAGATGCGCAGTTCAAAACACTGGTAATCAGGATGATCACTGAACTGGTTGAACACGGTCGCAAAATGGAGGAAAAAGTGAAGGCTACGCAAAGTGAACTAAAGAAAAATTTACAAGGAACCAACAATAAAGATAAGGAAACCAGGACTCAAATCAACAATTGGGAGCAGAAGGAAGAAATAAACATTCAACCAGAACAGAATGAAGAAACAAGAATTCAAAAAAATGAGGAGAGACTTAGGCACCTCTGGGACAACATCCGAATCATAAGGGAGCCAGAAGGAGAAGAGGAAGAGCAAGAAATTGAAAACTTATTTGAAGAAATAATGGAGAACTTTCCCAGTCTGGCCAAGGAAATAGACTTCCAGGAGAACCACAAAGCTCAGAGAGTCCCAAAGAAGCTGGACCCAAAGGAAGCACACACCAAGGCACATCATAATTACATTACTCAAGATGAAAGATAAGGGGCTAATCTTAGAAGCAGCAAGAGAAAAGGAGACAGTTACCTACAAAGGAGTTCCCATAAGACTGTCAGCTGATTTCTCAAAGGAGACCTTGCAGGCAAGAAGGGGCTGGCAAGAAGTATTCAAAGTCATGAAAGGCAAGGACCTACATCCAAGATGACTCTGTCCAGCAAAGCTATCATTTAGAATGGAAGGGCAGATAAAGTGCTTCCCAGATAAGGAAAAGTTAAAGGAGTTCATCATCACCAAGCCTTTATTTGAAATGTTAAAGGGACATATCTAAGAAAAAGAAGGGTATCAAAAACTATGAACAGTAAAATGACAACAAACTCACAACTATCAACAACTGAACCTAAAAAATAACAACCCCAAAACCAAAACAAACTAAGCAAACAACTAAAACAGGAACAGAATCACAGAAATGGAGATCAGAGGGGAGGGGGAGGGAGGAGAATGGGGGAAAAGGTACAGGGAATAAAAAGCCTAAATAGCAGGCATAAAATAAACGGGGGGAGGTTAAGAATAGTGTAGGAAATGGAGAAGCCAAAGAACTTACACGGGGGACCCTTGGACATGAACTAAGGGGGGTGCGCGGGGGATGGTAGCGGGACGGAGAGTGCAGGGCAGAGGGGGACACAGGGGAGGGAAAAAATGGAACAAATGTAACGGCATGATCAAAATTATATATTAGAAAAATAATAACTTTGAAAAAAGAACCTCAGGCTCTAAGGCTTCATTTGCATATTTTCTCACGGCCTTGGGTGCTGGGACAGGACCAGCAGAAAGGGACCGTGCAGAAGCCAGCGCGGCGCCTACGCCCCACGCTCGCCTTCCCACGGCTGCCCTCAGAAGCGCCCACTGCGGAGCCTCCGCCCACCTACGTGAAGGGCCCGGTCAGTGTGGAATCACCTCCCAGCATCTCCATATAAAGAGCAGCTTCACTCAGCTGGCCGGAGCCTGAGATCAAGAGACTGAAACTCAAAGAATCAGACCATCTTAGAAGATTTCAATATGCCATGGGGATTGGAAACGGAAAAAGGCCCCGCACCTTCTCTGCCATGCAGCGCTGCGCCGGAGGCCTGGGGGACGCGCCTGAGGCCGGATACAAACTGACCACCACGTGGTCTGTTTTTCCTTCTTCCATTTAAATCATTTCTTCAAAGTGCGGTTTCCTAAACAAAGCCGATCCTTGCGTACACTGAAACAAAGAGACGCTCAGTGTAAGAAGTTCCCTGCTGCCTGGGAAACTTTTAAATGGAAAAAGGAATAAACAAACAAAAAATAAACAAACGATCTCATTAACTGAGGAAGGCACCAAGAATGGGGTTAGAGGAGAAAACTGGAAGGAAGCAGACACCAGGCCACATGTGGAGAAGTCCGTGGAAAAAGAGCAATAAATAAATAAATAATATAAAATAAAATAACAAAACAGATAAATTCTAAAATACCGACTCACTACCCGTCCAACGCTGAGTCTTCCCGGTTCCCTAGATGTGCTGAGGAAGTGAAGACCCCAGGGGAAGAGGCCAGCAAAGCTAAAGTCCACTACAACGTGGAGTTCACCTTTGACACTGACGCCCGCGTGGCCATCACCATCTACTACCAGGCCACCGAGGAGTTCCAGAACGGCGTTGCCAGGTAACGGCAAGAGCCCCTCCCTTCCCGGCTAGGTTGGGGTCCGAGCCTTACGTGCTCAGCTGTGGGGGAAAACATTCTTTTTCTCCAGCCGGGGGAGATCTGGTTCTCAAATTTGGATTTTCCTCTACCGAGCCCCACTCCCGCATCTTTTCCCTCTCAGCAGCGCCCTGTGGGTGCTGTGGCAGACGGCAGCATAGCCCTTTGGGTCATTAAGATGCTGGGAAACTCCATTAAGCGGCCCTCCTGTCGCTGGGTGGGTTGCAGAGATGAGCTGAATAGCATTACCAAGCAAACGCAAAGGAGATTGATAACAAACGAGGTCTGGTCTGTTCTACTCGGTGCCCAGAGCCTGCGGACAACGTGCCAAGGGAAACAGTCCCATCCGTCTGGGCTGCGTACTAACTCTCGCTTTGCTTCCTACTTGGATCCATAGCTACATCCCCAAAGACAACAGCCTGCAGTCGGAGACGGTGCACTACAAGCGAGGGGTGTGCCAGCAGTTCTGCCTGCCCTCCCACACCGTGGACCCGTCCGAGTGGGCTGAAGAGGAGGTGAGCCGCCTCCGCTGGAGGGGGCGGGCTGTGGGGCGAAGGCTCAGGGCAGGATCCGCACTCGGCCCCGGGTGGACCTGGGAGTGCGTTAGGACCACGGCCAGCAGCGCACAGGCTGCCTGGGTGCTTGAAGGTCATGCTCACCTTCAGCCTCGTATCCTTCATACTCTTAAAAGCATACGCCTAACCTCATGATTTTTCTATCCAAGCTAGCCCATTAGCCTAGGGTATTTCAAGAAATCCACGCTCAGAGAAAGGATCCTGGAGGTTACAGGGCTGTACGTCTATGAAATTTTAAAAAGAAACTGGGGACTTCCACCCGGGGGACTCAGGTAGCTTCAAGTGGACGGAGGAGGAGCAGAGATGCGGTTCTTGGCGACACCTCCCTTTCCGATGGGTCCCTGTGCCATTTGGACATGTGAAGTCCTTCTTCGTCCTTACGTTCCGCTCTTTCCCTTCAGCTTGGCTTCGATCTGGACCGAGAGGTCTACCCTTTAGTGGTCCACGCTGTGGTGGACGAAGGAGACGGTACGGATGTCCTTTCTTCCTTGGCTGACACCCTGCCCTTCTGTGGCGCAGGGCCCCGGGTGGCATGGTCTCCCGCGTGGGGGTCACTCGGGCAGTGTCCACACCCCCCCCCCGCCCCCTGCACTCACGTGCCCAAGGCCCGCGGGCTGACAGGAACACCGCTGGGCTCCGCAGTGTGCCCCTGGCGTGACAGCGCAGGACGTTTGCCCAAGGCAGGGACCCGGGGAGGGTCGGCGGGCATCCAGGGTATTGTTTGGTTTCTGTCTCCACTCGTGTGCCTTTATTTCTTTCAGAGTACTTTGGCCATTGCCACGTGCTGCTGGGCACTTTTGAAAAGGTGAGTGGCTTTATGGGCCTCACTTTAGCATGTTTAACTCTTTTGTGGGAGGACGTCTGTCAGTTTTACTGCTGACTGCCTGAGCACAGCAGATGGGGGGGCGGGGCGCGGGGAGGAACACCACCACACGCGGGGCCACCCTGGGCCTAAGTTCCAGCTCTGGCACCCAGTTGTGCGTGACCTGCAACCTGGAAGGGCTCGTTTCCTCTTCTTCAAAAGGAAGGCTTAGACCAGCCCTGGGAGTCGCAGTTCCAGCGGGGCGTCCCCAAACTTGTGCAGCGGAGAGGAGTAACAATGAACAGCTGGGGCTCCCTGGCCTTCCTCCCTGTCGTAACTGTCATATTCTCATTCCAGCACACAGATGGGACCTTCTGCGTCAAGCCCCTCAAACAGAAACAAGTAGTAAGTATTCCAAGGCCAGAGACTGTTGGCATCTTTCCTTTCTCCCTCCCTCTCTTTCTTTCTCTCTTTCCTTCTCTCTTTCTTTCTTCCTTTCTTTCTTTTTTTTCTTTCCCTTCCTCTTCCTCTCTCTCTTTTACTCTTTTGCTGAACACACTTCTTTCCCTCCCCACCCCCATTTTTAAGTCAAAGAACAACAAAAGGGTAATGCTTTTTTTTATATGTTAGAAACTACTTGGGTGGCCTGAAAGGAATACTGATTTTTGGTGTCTTTATTGTCCCAGAATTGTTGGTGTTGAGTCAGCCATTATCTGAGCAAAGGACTCTTGACGTGAAAGGACAAGATTTGTCTCCTGACATCAGGTTTAGGGAGCACTCCTTTTGTCTGAAATGCCACGCCTGAAACATTTCAAGCTAAAGGATAAAGTGCTGGCATCCAGTTCAGGGCCAGTTGGCTTAATTTATCCGACTAACGCTTTTCTAAAAGTCAGAGTTTGCTGGCCACCCGCCCCCTCCGGAGCGATCGGCAAGTCCCACACACGTCTGCCAGGACTCCTACCCCCGCTGGTGCCGCGCTGCCCGCTGCTGCTGCAGAAGGAGGAGGAGCGTCACGGAGGGCGAGGTGGGGGTGGCGCCCGTGCCGTTGGCAGGTCCTCCCGCGGGTGGCAGGTGGCGGGCATCTGAAATCCCACATGACTCGGTTTCGGAGGGTAAGCGCTATGCCCGCTTAACGAGGCCGCTAGTCGTCAATAATACCTTCGCATAAATTAGTTGATAGTGTCCTTCCTAATATAGTCGCTGAGTTGAAATGGGTTTTGAGAGGGACCGAGGAGGAAACAGACCCCGCGCCCAGGGTGCTGCCTCGAAAGCCGGGCACTGCTGAGGCCCCCGCAGAGGCCCAGCTCCGCAGGTGCCCGGCAGGGGGACGGCCGCCCCCCCGCCCAGGAACATGGTTTCTCTCTCTCTGTTGCTAGACTGGCATTGGTGGCAGGCCTCGTCAGACTGGAGAGGGGGACACAAAATCGGCAGCAGCCTGGGCCTGAGGGAAGCATCCAGGCGGAGGAGGGGCGTGGCCTCCAGGGGAGCCACAAGAGGAGGGCCCGCTTAGCGCTGCCGCGGCCCCGGTGGCATTAGTGGCGGTGAAATCGGATGTTGATGTCGGAGTTTTAAGAAACAAGGCCAAGAGGCGCGACCTTGCCGCGTGTGGCAGACTCCGCGGCGGGGAAGGGGCTCCCCTCTTGTCCTTGCCCATTTCCTCTCTTTCTTTCTCCTCCATTCCTTTATGTTTATGACGTCTAAACCTAACCCTTACTTCATAGCCAATGTTATATTTTGAGGCGTATTCTTCCGTGCATTTCTACCTGACACCTTTCTTAGCCGTCGGCGACGTGTGGCAGGACAAACATGGCCGCCTTTGTGGGCTCTCCCCTCCCCTGCTGGTGACTGGTGGTGAATTCAACACCTTATTTTCTTTCTCCTCTCAAAGAGAAAACCTAAGTAAATGCAAGCATCCTTTGCTTGTCTAGGCCTTTGGTTTTTTCATTGTGAATCTCTCGTCCTTAGTGACAAGGTTGGCGGGACGGGGTGGGAGCGAGTTCCCACTCTTCTCTCTCAGTAGAGTCAGCCGCCTGCCCTTGAACTTCCCGCTCTGTTTGCTCCTCAGGTGGATGGGGTCAGCTACCTCCTTCAGGAGATCTATGGGATTGAAAACAAGTACAACACGCAAGATTCCAAGGCAAGTTCTACCCGAAATTCTGCATGTGCTCTTCCCAAGAGGCAGAGTGAGAAAAATCTCCGAGAAAGCCAGGACCGAGGAAGGTCGGGTGCTGAACTTGAGTCGGTTTGGCCCTAGAAGGGTGTTTTCCTGTTCCTCCTTTCAAATGATTACCCGTCAGTCCCTTTGGAAATGCAAAAGCAGGCCAGTTTGGGTTAGTTCTCTGCAGAGTGTGCCCCCTCCTTTGCTGGCAGGGATTTCTGGGTGCTGATCATTAAACCCCTCTTCTTCCTGGGTGGTCTCCTCGGGCCCCACAGCTCAGCCGGTCAGAGAGGGCCAGACCTGAGCCTCGTAGGGGGAGCGTGAGGTAACAGTTCCCAGAATCAGGGGGCTTGAGTCTGTGAACGCACTTGGTAAACGGAGACGTCCAATGTAAATAAATGCAAGACCTCGTGCTTACGACTCGTCTCAGTTCTTCGGGCACACGGCCTGCGTGGAAAGCCTGCGTCTCCGTCATTGGCTCAGCTCCCGTCTCCCCGGCCAGGTGGCTGAGGATGAAGTGAGCGACAACAGCGCTGAGTGTGTGGTGTGCCTCTCGGACGTCCGGGACACCCTGATCCTGCCCTGCCGCCACCTCTGCCTGTGCAACGCCTGCGCGGACACCCTGCGCTACCAGGCCAACAACTGCCCCATCTGCCGCCTGCGTAAGCCCCGGCGGGCGGCCCCCGGGGGACCCGGGGAGGAGGGGCCTCGCTTTCTGTCTGACTCCTGCCCCCCATCATCCTTCCCCTCCCGCACAGCCTTCCGGGCTCTGCTTCAGATCCGAGCCATGAGGAAAAAACTGGGTCCCTTGTCCCCAACCAGCTTTAACCCCATCATCTCCTCCCAGACATCTGACTCCGAAGAGCACTCGGTAAGTTTTGCTCAGAGCCACAACCACTGCCGAGCAAGCTCGGTCGTCTCCTGGCCGCCTCTCCTCACCTTCGGCCCCTGGCCCCTCCGGACGGCTTTGCCGCAAGTGAGTAAACCCAGCAGTGGGAGGAGCTGGTACACGGGCTGAGACCAGGGTGCGTGAAAGCTGACCTGCAGGACCGGAACCGGGATACTGAGCCTTGAACCCCTTTCCTGCTTGGGAACCTGGGGCCCAGGTGGCGCTGCGTGTGCCTGGAGCCCTCCTGTCCTTCCGCCAAAGGGGCCAGCTCTGGGACACCCCCCCACGCAGAAAAGGGGGGGCGCTGTTTCAGACTGGAATACGGTTCACTGTCTGTATCCGAGAGAGCCGAATGCCGACCACGAGGCCGCCAGGGATACTGTCCGTATCTGAACCCCAGAAGGAGGGACGGCGGTTCTTTATCCCGGTTCACGGCTCCAGGGGCTGGGAGCCGAGCGGCCGGGCCCCTCCTCCTGGTCTCGGAGTGCAAGGCGGGGTCCTGGGGGGAGGGCTCAGAGCCGTGTGGTCACAGCCTGGCAGGTACTGACTTGCTCTGCATTTACACTCCAGTGGAAGAGACTTATCGTCCAGGAAGCCAAATCAGGATAATTAGTTAGCTATTCGGGGAAGAAAAACCAGTTTAGCGCTTCGCTCCTTACCAGATAACAAATTCCACCTGGAGTAACTAGTGAACTATATTCCAAACAAAGCAACCAAGCAAAACATTAAAAATCTAGAATAAATTGTCAGTGATTCTTTGATGGACTGTGGATGGGAGAGGCTCTCTAAGCTCAAAAGAAAAAAAGACTGCAGATTTTACCACACAAAAATTTTCAAACTTCAGAGGTGTAAAAGATGACCAAAATTAAAGGCAAACAACCAACCATGTGAGGACCAAATATGCATTCACAACATTTACAGCAGAGGGAAGGCTCAGAGCTTTGCTGTGGCTCATACATATGAAGAAAACAGCAGGGAAATGCTCAGAGGACACCAGGAAAATCCTCAGAAGAGAAATTCCTCAGCAGAGGAAACAGAGCCGGATAACGGTCTTTTTTTCTTTTTCTTTTTTTAAAGTCAATCCCATTAAAAATCAACGAGCAAATTAAAATGAGATACCCATTTTTTACCCTTCAAATTTGAAAACCTTTTTAAGGTTTTCTGCTTTTGGGAGTGTAACTAGAAAGATTGTTGAAAAAAACAAACCAGTTGTATATATCAAGAGTTAAACACATTTCTACCTGACACTCCAAGGTCCAAGCATTTCATACCAAGAAAATAGTCTGAAAGAAAGAGATTTATGCACAAGGACGTTCCGCAGAATGGTCACTGTCAGAAACGCCAGACACAACTAGATCCCTGCACCGGCGGGACCGTGAGGGACTCTCGGTGTCTTTGAAAAGCAGACGTGTATAAAGGAAAATATTTCTATTTGGCGAAATAAGCAGGATATAAACCTGTGGCTGACAGATAGGCTTTAACTGTGTAAATAGTACAGAGGAAAAGATGGGAAGAAAATACACAGAATGCTGGTAAAGTTATTCTTTTGGGTGATTTGATTGATGGGTTTTTTTTTTCCCTCCTTTCTATTTTTATGTAGTTTCCAAATTCCCTGTAACAATGTATATTTCAATTATACAAAAAAAAAAATTCAGAAGTTCACGTATAAGCAGAATCGAGGAGTGTGGGGTCCTTTGGCGTGGTACCTTTCTTTGGCCTCTAGTACAGAGCTTTTTGTGACAGATGCCAGACTGGATGTAAAAAAAAGACATTTTTCCAGTGCAGAGAAAGAAACACATCATTCCATAAAACGAAGAGCATTCCATTAATTTCTCAACCTGCCTGATCCCCAGTCCTCCGAGAACATCCCGCCCGGCTATGAAGTGGTGTCCCTTCTGGAGGCCCTCAACGGGCCGCTCACGCCCTCCCCGGCGGTCCCTCCGCTCCGCGTGCTTGGCGACGGCCACCTCTCGGGGATGCTGCCTGCCTACGGCAGCGAAGGCCACCTGCCCCCGGTCAGGACGCTCTCCCCCCTCGACCGCCTGTCCGACTGCAGCAGCCAAGGACTGAAGCTGAAAAGGAGTCTCTCCAAGTGCGTAGCCGGCGCCCAGCAGCGTCGGTCTGGGGTCCCCGGTGGGGTGCGTCCAGCCGTCCCTCACCTCTGGGGGGCCCGGGGCAGAGGGCACCCTCTGGGCAGTTCCCAGAGCGTCCCATGTCCCTGAAGACCTGGGGCGAACACCTGGGGGAAGCCTCTCCCATCCCTTAGGAAAATAAGCTGGCACACAGGGACCTGGGAGGGTCCGGACAGACGAGTCTGTTATTCTGTTTGGGGGGCGGGATGGGGTGTAGGGAGCACCCCTCAGTCTGAAGACAAAAGCAACCTTGTGATGTAAGCAGTTAAATCCAGCGAGGCATAAGTCATGATAAGTAAAAGAAGGCGTTTTATAGGTGAAAATATCAAGACACTGAAACTGTCCGTGGTTTTTCCCAAGTTCAGACCCCAGTTACGGGAGGAGCTGAAGGGAAAACGCAGGCGACCCGCCCCCCGGGGGAGCCCCTGGTCCCCTGCCTGGTGCTCTCGCACCTCCCTCCTCCCTCGCGGTCCCCCTCGTCCGCCTTCCTTCCTTCCGGGCGAGGGCTCAGCCGCTGCCCCCTCGGGCTGCCGCAGGTCCGTCTCCCAGAACTCCTCCGCGCTGCGGGAGGAGGACGACGAGCAGTCCTGCAGCGCCTCGGAGACGCGCCTGTCTCAGGGGCCTTCGGCCCCGCAGCTGGAAGAGGTAAGCGGCCGGCCCTCCCTGGCTTGGGTGTCGGGCTCCAGGACTTGCGTCCGCAGGGCCACCTGCCGACGTTGATTCACCAGCACCTCTGCACAGTCTCTGAGATGGCAGTTTTGTTCCATTCACTCTCTCATGGGGGAGCCTGTTCTTTACCTGTCCCTGCTCCACATGCCGAGGACAGCAGCCGTGAGGAGACCGCAAAGCCCCTGCCTGGTGGTGCTTATGTTCTTTTTTTTTTTTTTTTAAGGTTTTATTTATTTATTTTTAGAGATGGGAAAGGAGGGAGAGAGAGAGAAACATCATGGTGTGGTTGCCTCTCGTGCGCCCCCTGCTGGGGACCTGGCCCGCAACCCAGGCCTGTGCCCTGACTGGGAGTCGAATCTGAGACCTTTCGGTTCACAGGCCAGCGCTCAGCCCACTGAGCCGCACCAGCCAGGGCGCAGTGCTTCCATTCTTGATCGCGGGCTGGGGGTGGGGGAGACGAAGGGCAGTAAGTAAAAACGCGTGTGGATGGCACTGTGGGTCACTGGGCGGATAAAGGAGAAAGGGAGTGTCAAGGCCAGAGGTGCGGTTGCTGCCTTTAAAAAGTGGCCCACGAGCAGAGAGCAAAGGCAGCGTGAGAGTGAGCTCTGCAGACGCCCAGGAAAGCAGGCTCTGGGCCCTGCCGGCCAGCGGAGCAGCCCCAGAGGCAGCACGGTGGGGGGCGGGGCAGCAGTGCTCCCCTTGCAGATTTCAGTTCACACGGGGTCACGGGGTCATTACAGCCACCCCCAGCCAGGGAGGGAGCTCGGGGCCATGGAGCATGCAAAGGTGACAGAGAGGGTCCCGTCCTGAGGGACTGGCAGTCTAGTGGGGACAGGACCTGTCCACAGGTAACAGCACCATGCCTGGCACAGAGCTGTTGCTCAGTTAGGAGTTTGTTGAATGAATGAATGAATGAATGAACGAATGAATGAATTGAACTGTAGGAAACAAGTGTACCCAAAACAGGGATGAGAAAGTGCTGTGGCAGATGTCAAGTGGAGGAAACCAGGAAAGAGGGCAAGGGAGGACCAGCGTGGAGCCGAATCTCAAGATTTTTAGAAATGAAGACAGAGGCGAGCGAAACTTTGGGCATGGGCGGAGGGGGGAGTCCAGGCCCTGAGCAGGTCAGGGGTCCCTGGGAGCTTCGGTCGCGCAGCCCCTGCCAGAGGAGTGGCAGTGGAGGGGGCGAGGCGGCTGAGCCAGGAGCTGCTCCAGGGGCGCAGGCGAGAGGGGGTGCCGGGGAGATGGGAAAGGACTGGGTTGCAGAGCGAGAACCTGGAAGGCTTGGCACCTGCCCAAGGTGGGGTCAAGCCACCGGCCCAGGTGACTGATAGGTGCGGTGTCAGGGCGGGCGGGGGGAAGGGCGGCGCTGTGTCCTCTGCACCGGGCTGGAACTGACCCGGAGCCGTGTGCAGGAGCCCAGCCGGCAGGGCGGCCTCTGCTGCTTTTGTGTTCTTTTCCTTCAAAAGAAAAGCTGTTTATGATCCCAGGGAAACCTGGGGTGTTCCCATGTCACAGCTGCTGGGTGACCTGTGTCACCTGAGCTGCAGTCTTTGTGCGGCCCCAGCAGACGCTGTGCCTCGGGCCGGCTGTGCTGACTGAGTCGGCACCTCCCCTGGGAGACGGCCGCGCGGCCAGGGCTGGAGAGCAGTGAGGGCAAAAGGGAAGCCGCCTGCCTCTGTGCGTCGCTGATGTTGTGACCGTGGGGACCTCAGTCCCACCAGGTGTCCCCTTCCACTTCCTCTCCCCCTGCGCCCCCACCCTTTCGCCTGCCCTCCAGTGTGTTTGACTCCTGCTCCTCCCTCACCCCAGGAATGTGGTGTCACCCCAGACAGCGAGAACCTGACCCTGTCGTCATCGGGAGGCATCGACCAGTCGTCCTGCACAGGGACGCCTCTCTCTTCCACCATTTCCTCCCCAGAAGGTACCCGAGGGGTCAGGGAGGGACTGCATGTTCTCCCCCGCCAGCCCAGTCCTCAGCGTTCCTGTGTGTCCCCTCAACAGACCAGGGACCTAAGTGGCACAAGGAGTAGGCCCCACACAGAGGGAAGGGGGCTTGCTCTCCTGGGATGGGTGGCAGTCGCCCCTGAGCTGGGGGACAGGCAGCTGTCTTATTCCCAGTCCTGCAAACCCCTGGCCCCCCAAGGCTGAGTTCTGAGCTCTCAGAGTGAAGGAGCAGAGCCGTGGGAAACCTTAAATCTGAAACGCTTTTAGGCGAGGGCGAGGCCGGGCCTCTGTGGTCCCCGCTGCACGGTGCAGGGAGCGAGCGTGCTCCTCACTCGGCCCTCAGAGCCCACACCTGACCTCCGTCTCCTCCCTCCACCTCCTGTCTCCAAAGACCCCGCCAGCAGCAGCCTGGCCCAGTCGGTCATGTCCATGGTGTCCTCCCAGAGCCGGCACTCCCAGATCAGCACCGACACCGTCTCCTCCATGTCTGGCTCCTACATTGCCCCCGGCACCGGCACTGGCACGGAAGACGAGGGAGAGGCTTTCCCTTCCCCGCTGGCCGCCAGCAGGGCCGCCTCAGAGGAAGGAGAGGTAAGGGAGGGGTGCAGGGACACCCCGTGCGACGTATCCCAGGTAGCTCGCTGCAGCGTCTGTCTGCCTGGGACATCTGCAGAGCCCCGCCGTGCTCGATGCTTGGCAGGGGAGCCGCGGAAATGAGGGGCAGTGTAACCCAAGGCCCCCCTCGGACCTGGCTCTGTTTGGCACCGCTGTCCGGCAGGCGTGGGCAGGTTCGCTGCCAGACCAGCTGGGCCTGCATGGGGCCGGTGTGTCTGCGCCTTCATTCTTGTTTCTCTTGCAGGTGATGCCAGCGGCGTCTCCAGACAGCAACTTTGTTGGCCTCGCTGAAGAGCAGGATGCAGAGGTATCACCCACAGGGAATGGTGGTGCTGACTGGGGGGAAGATAGGGTGGGGGCTGTCCCAGAATAACCCTTCCCAGGTGGCGGTTGGAGCCAGTGTGGTCTGGAGGTCGGTGCACTGTCCGGCCAGCAGAGGGCGCTGGTCTCAGCGTAACTAACGGGCCTGGAGGGACCTCTGGAGGGCGCTCCTCCCCACCAGGCCCTGGGCCTTGACACTGTCCTTCGTCACTTAGTGACTGTATATACAGGACGGCTGTGTCGCAGGCGCTTCCTGGCACTTGGGGTTGCAAAGACCCGAGCCACTGGGTTTCTGCCTGCCCCCCACCCTCTGTACCTTGAGGCTCGGGGGTGGGCGGAGACAGTCACAATTCCGCTGAGAAGTGCTTTGGAGGAGCTGTGCGGGAGGGTCCTGAAACGCCCAGCTCACAGGGAAGGCTCTAGAACTTTTTCTTGAATGACATGTTCTCCCAGGAGTGTCTGGTTAGGGTTTGCAAGGCTCAGGGGTTTTGGAAAGTTCTAAGATCTCCCCATTTGCTTTTCCATGGGCCTTGCATCGCCACCAGGCCCGCCGGGCCTCACGGAGCGGAGCCTGCCTCTGCCCCGCCCCGGGGTTCCTTACCTTCAGCAAGATTCGTTCAGTCTTCATTCAGCCCATGAATATCCAGTTGACCCTTTCCTTTTTAAATTTTAATGACAATTAATATTTGAGCCAAACAGAGGGTAAACCTGGAAGCAAGATCTCAACAGACTGAGAAAAACGCCCCTGCCGTGGACCCTTGACCAGCACAGTTCAAACCCGCGTTGTTCCCGGGTCACCGGTATTCGCAGCTGCCCCTGGGAACGTGTGTGCTGAGGGCCGGCCGAAGTGCCCTGTGGACTTTCGACTGTGCGGGTGCCCAGCGCCCCAGCCTCCACACGGCTCACGGGCCGATTGCCCTCCCTTGACTGCTCTAGGGACGCACCGCGCCTTCCTTCTCTTGCAGGGCAACGATGTTATGGAGGAAGACGCTGGATCACCCACACAGGAAGATGGTAAAAGACCTGGTCTTTTGCTCCCTCTTTTTATATTCTTTCCTGGGTGTGCTGTGAAGGGCCCCGAAGGGGGCGCTGGCCTGTGCGGGCGGCACTCCTGCGCGGTGCGCCCCTGGGGAAGGGTCGTCTTCCTGACGGGAGCCCGCAGGGTGCCCAAGGACCGCAGCGGCCTTCCAGCTCGTCCTGGGCTCAGCGCCAAGGCTGTTGGGAGGCGGGTGCCGCGGGAGACCCCGCAGTTCTCCGTTGACATCCAACAGGCCCTGGGGCTCCTCGGCGACCCCCGTGGCCTCGCTGCCCACTGCGGCTGTTCGGCCCCGTGCCCGGGAGCTGCTCTGGCAGCCCCCAAGTTGAGCGGCAGAAAAGGGACTCTTAGGCCGCTGGTTTGGTTTTGCTTTAGCCAAGAAAGTGGCTGACGGTCCAGTAACAGGGATCTTAGGAGCCAGCAGCACAGGGAAGGTGTGGTAGCGACCAGTGTTCTGTAACTGTTCCAGTGATTTTCTCGTGCTTATCCAAGCCTCAGTTAGAGCTTCTGTTGGAAGAGTGTCGTTTCTAGTGCGGCTAGAAGGGAAGGGATGGTCTGCAGAGCGAGGGAGCAGGAAGGAGGGGCGGGCTGGGACGCCCCTCCCTGGGATGGACTTCACGGGTCCCAGGAACCAGCGTCTCTCCCTCCACTGCTCTGAGGTGCCTGCTGTGGAAAGGCACCTCCAAAGCAGACCCGGACGCCGGCCGGGACGCAGATGTCATCCTAGTTGCTTCTGCTTTAGCGCTGGCCATTGCTTGGGAGTTCAGGGGCGTGCATGCGGACTTGACCACTCTCGCCTGGCCAAGTCGCCCTGAAGGAGGGCGTGGCCGCCTCGGCTGAGCCTCCGCCTCACGTTTGCTCGCCAGCCCCAGACGGGCCGGCGCCTCATCGACTAGGGCGATGTCGTCAGTGCTCAAGACCCCCTTTGTGACTGCTCCCCCGACAGAATATCTGCTTCTGACAAGTGCAGGCCGCAGGGGGTTTCCACTTGACATTCCATATAGCCCACGCGGTGGGTTTACGGTTCTTCCTCTCTCGTTCACCAAGAAAAAGAAAAAGAGGGAGCTTGAAAAAAGTAACTTCTAAAAGTTTCCCCTTCCCCTCTCATCTGTCTGTAGGTTTCAGGTCACTCCCTGAGAATATACTCAACAAATTTCATAACTCTCCTAAGAAAATAAATCGTAATTTTGTGAATGTGGTGATTCTGACTTGATGTGCAAAATTACGGACCCTAAGACCTCCCGTTGTTGTTCTAGTGTGTAGCATTTGCAGAGCCTTCTGGCGATAAGCACACCCCACAGCACCGGCAGACACAGGCAGGAGCAGGGTGGCTTCACCAGTGGGTCCCCCAGCCTGTCCCAGCCTCTGGCAGAGTTCCACATGGGCCACGTTCCCTGGGGAGCCTGCGACCCGGTCAGCAGCCCTTGCCAGGGCCTGACTTGCTGTGGATCCGCGGCTGGAAAGGGGCCGATTCGGGAAACAGAGCAGGATAGCTCAAGAACACACACAGTTTGATCCTATTATTGTCCACTCTTTACCCACTTAATTATTGTCTTTTTTTTTTTTTTAAACACATGATTTGATTTTTTTTGTCTCCATCCTTAAGACTTTTATTTTAAGGACAGCACAGCAGAGAAAAATCCAGCCAGCCCCTGTCTAACTGCATTAACTCCGTTACAGGCCAGAGGACATGCGCATTTCTAGGTATGGAGTGTGACAATAACAATGACTTTGACATCGCAAGCGTGAAAGCACTGGACAATAAGCTGTGCTCTGAGGTCTGCTTACCCGGTGAGTGGCAGTCTGCTGAACATGAACTTGGTGGGAGACGCTCCCCTGCTCGCTCCCCTGCTCTCACCCTGGGACGCCCATCTCCTGCCTCGCAGCTCCTGCAGGAGCCGGGGCTGTGCCGAGATGCTGGAAGCCCTTTGCGGAAAGGAAGTGAGGAGGCCTCAGGACAGCCCTGAGAGAGAGTGTTAGGACAGCACGGAGGGAGAGCGCTTCCTGTCCTTCCCGCCGGGCCTGACCGGCCCCTCCACCACGATCTTGGCCGTCCCACGGCGATCCCATGGCGGGTGGCCTGGTCTTGTTTTCACCGACCGGAAGGCAGGCAGACACAGCTCTCCAGCCTGAAAAGGGCCCGAGCGCTTGGGAAAGGCCCCCGCAGCTCCTCAGAGGAACCTGTTCCGTTGAATCAGGGAGGAAGGTGCTCGTGGGTTACCAGTCGCTTTGTACTTGTTAGCTCTGGAACCCCAAGGAGAGGTCAGGGGTCGAGGGTGACCGTGCTCCCTGGAGCCCTAACTTGAAATGCCACCGGGGCTGTCAATGTGCCCCTTATTCCTTCTCACGACACGAACCCGAATCTGGGCCGATTCCTCCAAAGGAACCCCACTCATCACACGTGGAGCCCTGACCTCCTCCCACCCGACGTGCTCGCTCCAGGCTCTGCGAGCCGCGGCTCCAAAGCCAAGTCTCGCGCACGTGGACCCGGCCAAGCCTGCCCTCCCGGTTTTACGGCAGCCGCTGTCCTTCACGTGCGCTTGTAATCTCTCCCACACCCCCCGAAACTTAGACTTACGTCAGCCTCAGAGCAGCCCCGTCACATCCTGGGTCCAGTGCTTTCCTCGTTCAGCGACGTGGCCAGAGGCGTTGGAGCCACACAGCCTCCTGTGGTTGCCATGCTCCATCAGCCTGTGAAAGACACGGGTCCTCACCCGCCCGGCCCCGCCCGGCCCGGCCGCGGAGCCGCCCCTCTCGGGAGCCGCTTCCTCCGGCCTTCCCGGGGGCTCGGGGGTCATTTTCCACTTAGTGCTGGCCCGGTCAGGTCTGGACTTCACTTCCTGCCTCCTACTCCCTACCTCGCTTCTGTCTGTCCGTTTGTTTTTCACGTCCTTTTGCCAAGTGTAAATCTGTCTGTCTGGTTTGTTTATTTTTCAACTCATTTTCGTTATCTAGACTCCGTACGAAAGTTCATGTTCGCTCCGTGCCCACACTGCCCGCCCCGGCTATGCTGCGCCCGCCCCCGCGCTTGCTGGGCCTGCGCACACCCGAGAGGCTCTTGCTTAGGGTCCCATTCCCAACTGCCAAGGGCCCGTGCTCCATATTCTACGATGGTCTGCGGGGAAACAAAAAATTTGCGAGGATACATTCTTCCCTGTGCCAGAAGAACGGGGGTGCTTCTGTGCAAGGGCGAAGGGACAGACCGGCTCTGGCCAGAGAGGACGCCTCAGCCCTCACTCTGCCCTGTGCCTGCGGCAGCCACACCGCCGTCTGCTCGCTGGGCTGCCAGGGAGAACCGAGGTTCCTGCCGCCCTCCAGGGGCTCCCCCACTCTTCCCCATATTTTGGCAGAGGGGGCCGCTGAGAGCTGCTCTAGCCGACCACGCTGGTGGAAATTTGAGCTTATCCCTTCTGCTTCCTCCTCTTCCTAACTGCCCCCGCCAGCCTGCTTGGCGAGACTTACTCCGCTCTGTGGGGTTGCGGGAAGGGCGTGAGGCCTGCCAGGAACGAGGAACCCCTGAGGTTCCTTGTGGTGATCTTGGAAGGGAGCCAGCCCATCTGAGATGAAGCTGGGTTCACAGTTGAGGCCAGACATGAACCAGGCGCCTGTGACGACTGCTGGGAGAGGGACACGGCTGTAAGCCCTCACGGAGTCCCATTGTCCCCTCACCGGGGGTCTCCACGTCTCTTGCGGAAGAGGGAGAGCCTATCTGCTCTTGCGGTAGAATGTTCTCGGGCTCTGCTGTTTTAGCATCATGCGGGTGGCCAAGGGCTGGGGAACTGTCTGGAAGCACCCTCTGGGCTAGTTGACAGGTGTACCCACTTTGGTAGGTCCTGTGTAAGGAATAGGCGTCTTCTCCCTCAGCTGGGAGGTTGAACTTCCATCCTACACCTGAGGTTCCCGCCGGCCAGCTGGGCTTCTTGGGCCTGTGGCCTCAGGACAGCCTCCCAGGACCTTGGTCTCTGCTTGACCAAGGTGGACAGAGGGCCGGTGGGAAGCCAAGCCTGGGGACCATCCCACCCCCATGCTCACAGTGCTCTGGGGTCGGGGGAGACCCAGGCTGAGGCCCAGCTGGTGGGTGGCGAGGACCTCGCCGGTCCCCTTGGTCACCACTCTTGTCAGAGTGACGCTGGGAGGGCACCTGTATCTTTCCAGCCCCTCTTCCCCTAAGAAGCTTCTGGGTATTCTTGGGCCTCAAAGCCCAGGGGGTGGGTGTGTTCTGAGATTGTCCTGAAAGGTTCTCAAAGGGAGGAGATTTCGGTGGCCAGGTGTAGGTGGGGAGCAGACCGGAACCTCGAGACCACGCTGAGTAGTCGTGGTTCCACGGGCTCAAGGGACAGTCACGCCGGACAGGGGCCGGGGAACCGGCGGGAGTTCTGTGAAGAGCCTCTGGGGCGGGTGCCGATGGGAAGAAGCAAAGATGACTCGGCTGTAGTGGCGCAAAGGCAGGCGGAGCTTTAGCGGCTGCTTCGAGCAGAAGGGGGGGTGTCTAATGAAATCTGAAAGCGCTTGCGGCAGAAACTCCAGGGCAGCGACCGGCCCAAGACCGAGATGCTCCTGGGCAAGTCCCCATGTTGGAGGCACTAAGGGAGCATCTGACCCAAGCTCTGTCCCCTGGAGGGAAACTCTGCAAGACAGCTGACCTATCACAGCCCTCGAAGTCAGCCACAGGGAAGGGGTGCACCGAAGGGCCTTAAGTGTGCTCCCCAAATCCACCCCTAGAGGTCTCTTCATCCTCCCGTTTCTGATTCCTCCAAATGGGAATGGAAAGCACCTCTATCCCCCTCCCTCCAAGGGCTTTAAACCTCCCAGCCCCGGTTTCTGGCTGAAGGTGGGACGGGATGGTAGTGCTGTCTCAGGAAGTTGCCCCCAGCGCCCCGGGTCTCCTTTCTGTGGCCAGGATCGCCCTGACCAGGTGAGCGAACGCAGAGCAGGGCTTTGCCGAGGGCCCGTCAGCAGCCGGTGGAGGGGAAGGGGCACCACGGAGCATGGGTCTCGGAGGCCAGGGAGGACAGACATCGTCGGGGCAGAGTCTTGAGGCGGCCCCAGCAGGAACGGGTGCCGGCCTGGCTGCAGGCCCTAGAAAGGCGGTGTCCGCTGCAAGGGCGCCCATCTCCAGGCAGGCCGCCCGCTGGCCCCGGGCCGCTGGCGAGCTGGCGGCGGCGGCGGCGCGGTTTTACTTTGTGCATGCGTGTGTGTCTTCTCTCCTGTTCACCATGTGCTTTTGGTCTTTCCTACCAAACAGCCGCAGTTCCGGAGTCCTGCCCCATAAACATTGAGGAATAGGTATGAGATCTACCCAACTGTACAAATGAACACACAACTCCTGTCGCCGTGGGGTTCCTAGCGGGCAGGGCAGCCTCGCCTGCTCTTCCTCTTGTCACCTGCGGAGTGCCGCCCTCAGAGGGAAAGAGCACCGCTGGCCGTGTCCCAGGCTTCAGTGCCCCAAGGGCTGGAGGTCCCCCGATCCCAGGGGGGCGTGGGAGACACCAAAGAATTTCCTGTTCTACTCACTTCCCCCTCCTCAGACTGTTACTAGAGCCTTAGAGGGATTATCCCACCAGGGCATCTCTGGGATAGAAGCAGTTTATACCCTTAATCCCAGTGTTTCTGCCCGTAGACCCCACACGTTGGTGAGCATGAACGCAGCGAGCCTCAGGCCCACCCTCCAGAGCTGTCGGCCCAGCCGAGGGCGAGCTGCCGGTCTCACGGAGGCGGTCAGGGCACAGTGTGAGGGGTAGGGGGCCGCGTGGGCTGCTGGGGGAGCCCTCCCCCTCGGAGCCCCAGGGCCGCCTCCGGCAGGGGCCCAGCGGGCAGGATGTAGGGCACTCCAGAGGAGGGAGCCGTCCCTGACCACGGAGCAAGGTCTCATCCTGAGCGGTGGGCAGCCAGGGCCCTGCCTCTCCTCTCCGGGAGGGAGAGGATGGCACAAAGGATGCAGCGAGGCTGTGGGCTTGGGGGGTGAGCAAGGGGATGTGGAGGGAGAGATGAAGGCAGCCTGAACGCAGCCTGGGGCGCTGGCACTTTCTGCCGGTCGGTACCCGCTCAGCACTCCCCCGTGTGACCTCATTCAGGCCCCGCGGCAGTCCTGTGAGGTGGTACCGAAAGTGACCTGCCCGGGCCCACACAGTCAGGAAGCCAGGACCTGGGAGGGGGGCCCCGCTGTTCTGACGGCAGTTCAGACATCCTCGGGAGTGGTGGGCTGGATGCAGAGCGCAAAGGGGAGAGCCAGGACGGGATCCGGCAGGGCGGCCGGACTTGGGGGAGGGCGGGGAGGTTAGTGGGCGACGCCTGGGGGGCCCCAAGGTCCTTGGGCTAAGTGTCTGCCGGGGTTGACGGCACCAGCGGAGAGCAGGCCTCCGCGGGCTGCTCGGGTCAGAAAGGGACGAAGCGCAGCGCGTGTGGGGGATGATGGGGTGCCGAAGCCGTGGCACTGTCCGTTCCCCCCCCCCCCCCCGTGTCCCTGGCACCCTGCTGGGCGGCCAGCCACTTCCTGCCCCGCCCTGGCTCCGCAGCAAACTCTGGGCCCAAAGGAACACACTCTCCTCCCTCCGCTGCCCTTCTTCCTACCCTGAGGAAAAGCTCAGCTGGACTCGGCTTCCTTCTCCTGGCCCAGCCGCAACACACGGGCCAACTTCAGCACAAGCGGGATGCGAAAGTGGGTCCGGGGGCAAGTTCACAAAACGAGAAGCGCCCTGAGTGTCCCCCTGCCAGTGGGCCGCGGTGGCTGTGACTGTGTGTAGCCCAGTGCAGCTGGCGCAGCCCCTGCCCACTTCTCCCGTTGCTCTCTCGCGCTGTGGCCAGCACAGGAGTTTCAGGTGACACGCGTCCTGCCAGCTTCCATGCCGAGCTCCCGGGCTGCCCTGCTGGAGACACCATCTGGGCCTGGCCAGCGGTCTGGCTCCTATAACCTCCCTCTTTCTTCTCCAGGCACCTGGCAGCCCGATGACAACGTTGCCAATTGTCGGAACACGCAGCGCCGGCGCCTGTCGTCCAGCAGCCTGGAGGACGCGGAGAACAGGCCCTGCGTCTGGGGTCCCCTGGCCGTCTGAGAGCCCCGGCCCCGCCCAGAGCTCCCTCCTGTGCCCACGGTCCATCCTGGCCTCCCTGGACCGATGGCCTCCGGGGCCACCTCAGCAGGACACACGGAGACTTTTACACCCACGTGGAAGCTAGACATTGAGATCAGCCCACTCCTTCCCCCAGCCTCGTCTCCTTCCGCAACCACGATCCCTCCCCCCTCAGAACGGACCGGAAGGCTCCTTTCTCCTCGCGGCCGAAACCACTTGATGAGCTGCAGCTCGGGGGGTCCTTCGCAGAGACTCGGGAACGGCCCCACTGTATCGTGATCTTCAGGTGGAGCCAAGGTCCACAGGCCGGTGGTTTCCTGAGCATCTTGTTCCTCCTTGGGTGTCGACCAAGAGGCTTGGAGTCTTCGTGGCTCGTAACAGACACCGTCTGGCATTTTCTGGTTTCTGGGACATCATGACCAATTTGAACCCTCCTACTTTGGGGGGGGGGGGGTTGGGGGTGACTCCCGGGAGAGGGGAAAGCCACATTGCACCCTCCTCAGTGGAGCTGCTCTCAAGGACAGGAGAGATGGTAGCAACCAAAAGGACAAATGGAACAACGGCCCTTGCTCCTGGCAGGCAAACTTGTCTCCCAGGCCTCATGCGTCCACCTGCTTAGGGAGAGGGCCTTGAATTGCAGACTCCCCCCGCTTAAATGATCACCCTCAGGAGGGTTTCTTAGGATCAGGTGCATTCGTGAAGGCCTGGGACTCCACCCGATGGTACCATTTCAGAAGCCACACATTTGACCACCTCCGTGTGCCGGGCGCGTGTGAGGAGCTGTTCCATCGCCGTGGCCCCGGCAGGTGGCATTCTTATCCCTGACTTCCCCATCTCTGCCCTCGTTGTTCATAGTGGGAGAAATAGGACGAGACGGGGGTGGGGGCGGGGCAGTGATCCTCCCCTGGTACCCCGGAGCCCCCAAGGAAGTGGTGGAGAGCACTGAGCTGTGGCCAGCAGGGAGCTGGGAGCCTCCCACCCCGCATGGCCCCCCCCCACCTCCCCATGCTCCTGAGCCTCATAGGAGAAGGGGAGGTATTGCCTCCATAGGCTCATTGAAGATTAAAAGGTATTGTTCCCATCACGTGCCCCCCCAACCCAGCCTAAGGCACCCAGGCAGAAGACTGACGCAGCGAGGCCGCACTAGCCCACATGCTGTTGGGTGTTTCTCTTCTCTGAGCCCCAGCACCGTGGGTTCCACACAGCCCTCAGGTGGATGCTCTGTTGGCTGGCTTTCGGAAGAGGTGGCTATTCAGTGGAGCACGGGATCGGAAAGCAGAGTGGGGTCTGAGGCTGAGATGTGGAGCCTTAGGCTGTCCCCATCCTGATGGCTTAGTATTTGGAATCGTCACTTGAGAAGAGCTTCTCAGAGCCCTTCCCAAGGCTTCAAAGAGAGCCAGCGCCCCCCAGGGGATCCTTGGCACCTTCTACATGGCTTCCTTGCACCGCCAGGCGGGGTTGGGGGGCCCTCATACCGCCTAGTAGTTGTGGCTCACGTTCTGCCCTGGTCCAAGGGGAGGCCAGTTGTCCCGACAGATGACAGATGCGACATTACCGGAGCCAGACTCCAGGCTTCTGTCTTCAGTTGCCCTCTCTGAGCTCCTGCAGTGGCCTCTGCCCTTCAGGCCCTGCTTCCTGTCCTCCCTCCCCCTGGTGGTCTTTAGCCCCTTTCACATTTAAAACCTGAGCAATAACCCCGCTTCCTGATTTCCTTGAAGTTTAAGCTCCAGAAACAGCAGGGGAGGGGAGCTTCCCTTAGCCTGGGGTAGTGGGACACACACCCACCTCCTCTCCAGGCAGGTAGTGTTCGCGGTGTGGTGTTACCTGAGATGAAGGAGATGCAGGTAAACAGGAGCCCCAGTGGCCAGGAACCCCAAGAGGAAGCCATTATCTTCACCCTTTCTGGGGGGTCTGTGTCCTCTCCCAGGAAGATTCTTCTAGGCCTTGGTTCCATAACCAAGACATCTACGTTACAGAATGGCCCTTCAGTCTTTGTTTTTCAGACATTTCCTATCCTGTTCCCCACCCTGGCTTCTTTGTTCTCATTTAGATCTTTGGCAAACAGAAAAGTCCCATCCAAAGAGGCTGGTCCTCAATCAGCCTGATCAGGGAACAGGGCAGCTGCCAACCCTGCTGTCCCATCCGTCAGCTGGACACCATCACGTTGTAAGCAGCGGACCCCGGGAGAATGGATGGGGCCCGGCTTCCCACATGGGAGCAGGGCACGGACTCACTGGAGGCCGGCAGCTCCTTCCTGCCCCACTCAGGTCTGCGGCCTCCCGTGGCCGCCAGGTGGGGTGGGGCTCCCGGGCTGCCCGCAGAGCTGATGTTCCTTCTCCTGCCCAGCTCCATCCCAGAGTGTATGCCCACGCGGGAGCATCTCCAGGGCACGGACCCGTACACTTTAAGCCACCTCACCTGGAGAGAGCGAGTGTCCTGTCCACCTGACCGTGGCACGCTTGTTGTTCGCTTTGCTTTAGGATCTGCACACCTGGCGTGTGCAAGTGTGTCTGTGCACTGTTGTGCCACTGTGTGCCCCTCTCCCTCCCTGGAGTTCCACTCGGGGGGCACGCTACAGTGGGGACATCAAGGATGCAATATTTATGGATTGCTGCATGACTCCTAAAACTGAATAAAACTGTTTACAAGGGAAGCAGCGCATCGACTGCATGGGCTCATTTGTGCAAGTTCCCATCTGACTTGCTCCAGCGGCCTTTAATGCCTCTGCTCCAGAGGATGCAGGAGGGGAGGAGCGGGAGAGGGCAGGGGCAGGGAAGGCCGGGCCCCCGGGCAGGCGTTGGGGTGCCCTCCCCTGGGCACAGGCTTCCCCCCGAGGCCTCCAGCTCCTGGACAGAGGCCTGAGTAAGGAGCCCTCGGCCCCACCCTTGCCCTTAAACCGGAGAACTGCCAACACTGCAGCTCGTCAATAATTGAAGAGCAGGAAAGCTGGTGACAGGAGGGAGGCCAGGGGACGGGCGGAGGAAGGGCCGCGGTCTCCTGTCCCTCCACCCTTAGTCCCTGTGACTGAAGGCTTGGTGAAATGAATGCGGCAAATGACCCCACCAGGAGAATTGGGCGAGTCCGTGGCCTTTCTGGGTTTCACCCGCCGGCTCTGCCTCCTCGGCTCTCTGAAGAGGAGGGAGAGCCCTTCCGCAGAAGCCTCTGGAACGTCAGGAGGGGTGGGGAGGTGGCCGCTTACCGGGAAACTGGATTACCCTGCCCGCCTTGGTGCGTCTGCAGCGGACCCGAGCGGCAGGTGGCATCAGAGAGGCAGGCCGACGCCCGGGATAGGGGAGAGCGGCGGCCGCACAACGGGAGCAAGTGCCCCTCGCAGCCCAGAGGAGAATGACACCCCGCTCTCGGCTCTGCCCGCGCCCGGGGCTGCACCCCAGGGGCCATCGAGGCCTCGCAGCCGCCCGGACAGGAAGGGGGCGTGGCGGGAGTGCGGCTCCAAGGGCGAACGGCTCCCCTGCGCGGCCGAGCCCCGGCGGGAGCGGCGAGCCGCGCGCTTCTCCGAGCCTTGCGCGCGGCCCGCGGGCGGGAATGCGGGCGGCCCCGCCGCGTTGGCGGGTAGGGGGCTGGGTGGCGCGGGAGAGGGACGCAAAAGGAGGGAGTTCGAAGAGAGTTACCGCCTGAGAGAGCAGTCGGGGCCCGCGGTCACCTTGGAAACGTGATGGCCAATGGCAGAAGCGAAAGCTGTTTATAGGGGCGGAGCGTCGCCATGGCAGCCGGAGAAGCCTTTGGAGCCGCTACTTAACGCCGTTCCCCGGGCCGCGGAAGCTCAGAGAGGCACCGTCGGGCTGGGGCGCGACGAGGGGTGCTGGCGAGGACCTCCAGCCGGGGGCAGAGAGCCGCGGGGGGTGAGGGTAACTTCTTCCAGAACCTTCCTTTGGCCCGGGCTGCGCTCTGAGCCAGGTAAGGTACTGGGCGGGCTGTGGGGCGCGGGAAGGGAGAGCGTTGGTGCCAGCCCACCTCCCATCCGTCCCGACGGAAGTGGTGGGCTGGGAACTGACATCTCCGGAGTTTGGGGGTACCTCATCTCTCGCCCCGCATCACAGTATGTCCTACTCCCCTCCTTCCCCGTGGCCTTCCATCTTAATACCCCTTTTCGAAAATCAGATGAACTCCCCGGTCCCCCACCCCGTCGACCTGCCCTCCCTGGCCCCCTCGCCCCTTTTCCAGGTGTCGCAGGGCGGGGGCATCTGATTGCCCCGCCGTGGGGAGAAGGGAATAGCCTTGGGTGCTCCTGCCCTCTTCCCTGATTTGGCTAATAAATCTCCCGTCCAGTCTCGCAGCGGAAAAGAAGAGCGAGGCGACCCTGCTGGGGTCTGGCCTCAGGGCCCTGCTTCTGTCCCCCAGACCTCGGCACTAAAAGACCCTCCCAGCTGCGGGGACGATTTTAGAGGAGCCCCCTACCCCGGCACAATCCCTCCCCTTGGAGGTGGGCGAAGAGCCCTCAGCTCCTGCCGTGCTGCCCGCAGGCCCCCCATTCGTATTCGGAGGAGGCGGCTCGCGGCACAGAATGGAAGCGCGCGTCCGGGAGGCTGTGTAGCTGGCGCCGCGGGAGCGAGAGGCCAGAGAGCGCGGTGGGCCACCCTCGGCTCGGCCGTGGATGTTGACCGCCCCCTCGGAGGGTCCCCGCAGACATGGCGGAAACCTGGCTTCGCCTCTCAGGAGCAGGGGCGGCGGAGGGGGCCGGGCCAGAGGGCGGCCTGGAGGAGCCCGACGCCCTGGATGACAGCCTGACCAGCCTGCAGTGGCTGCAGGAATTCTCCATTCTCAACGCCAAGGCCCCCGCGCTGCCCCCGGGGGGCGCCGACCCCCATGGCTACCGCCAGGTGCCAGGCTCGGCCGCGCCAGGGTCCCCCCTGGCGGCGGACCCAGCCTGCCTGGGGCAGCCACACACGCCAGGCAAGCCCACGTCGTCGTGCACGTCGGGGAGCTCGCCCTCCGGGCTCCAGGCTCCGCCCCCCGACGATGTGGACTACGCCACCAACCCGAACGTGAAGCCGCCCTACTCCTATGCCACCCTCATCTGCATGGCTATGCAGGCCAGCAAGGCCACCAAGATCACCCTGTCGGCCATCTATAAATGGATCACGGACAACTTTTGCTACTTCCGCCATGCTGATCCCACCTGGCAGGTAGGGGAGGTGTGGGTTGCGGCAGTGCCTCCCAAACTTCTCCCTCCCTCTCCACTCTTGCAGGACTCCACTCACTTCAGGTCTCAGATCCGCAGGTCAAATAGGCAGGCGCAGTGCACCCAGGGCCCCAGGGGATGAAGGCCATCGAGGAAGGACCTCCAGGGAGCCGGGTGCTTAGAAATGCCCCTCATTTGACTTCGGAGAGCGAGGAGGAAGGGTGTTCAGAGGGCTTTAGGGGTGAGGATGCTGAGGTTCAAGGGGCAAGCACTTGTTGCCCATCCAAGAGGCTCAGTCCAAAGACTAGGGCCAGACCTTGCCCTGGACACAGCCTCCCCACTGAAGGTGACAAACTGAGGGACTCATTTTTGTCCCAAGCCTTAAAATTCCTAGACACTGCCCTGCCCAAGGGCAGTTTGTCAGGACCTGACGGAGAGGTGACAGTTGGATCCGTGCCCCCTGCCGTGCTCCGCATCCTGCCCAGTTGCGGCTGGGGGGGGCGGGGGGCGCTGCGGGCTGTGAAGGCCAGCTGCGTCTCAGCGGAGTGGGTACGGGGCCCTCCTGAAGCTGCTGTCCCAGCCCCCACTCCAGCCCCTCCCCAGTTTTCTGCTTCTAATCCTTTTCCTCTTCTCAGTCAACCTCCCAGGGGGGACAATTACCTGAGCCAGGTGCTTTCCACAGGGGCTCGGCCTCCAGCTTGGGCTTCACGTTCCAAGTCTCCGGGATCTGGCACAGAGCAGCCAAGGGGCCAGGCCGCCACGTAAACATCCCAGCCTTGCCAAGGGGCACTACCCACCCATCTGCCTGCTGGCCAGGTCCCTGGCCCCCGGCCCCTTTGGGGTTCGAATAAGACTACGCCCCTAGGAATGAACGAGACAGACAGGGTGGTGATCAGACATTGCCCTGAGAGTCCTCTCCCTTCAGGCCCAGGGCTAGTTGGGCGCAGAGGCCCTGAGGATGCCCAGGCTCTCCCCTGGGGCGCCCGCAGGCAGCAGGCCGCACAGCACAACAGTCCCGAGCTATTCTGCACTGGCTTGGGCCCTGACTGGGGCAATGCCACCTGCAGCCTTGGTGAGAAAGCCCCCCACCGCCCCCACGCTAAGATGCTTGGGCTGCGGGAAATGGGCCCCAGGAATGAGCACTATGCTCTTTGCCGGGTAATAATCAACGGAAGCCAAGCAGCCTGGGGAGGGGATGGGGGGTGGCCAGAGCCGGGGCCAGCAGCTGGTTCAATAAACAAGGGAAGTCATCAGCGCGCACCACACTTCATCCCTACACACACCCCGGGCAGGCGCGCTTGCGTGCGCGCGCGCGCACCCTCACAGCCTCCATCGCCCAGTGCCACCCACCCCAACCCCCTCACTCACTCCACACACAGGGAGGGCCGGCCAGGCCCTGGCGGAGGGAGATGGCCAGCCAGGCCCTGGGGGAGCTGAGGCGTTTGGCCAGAGGCTGCAAGCGGTGGGGTAAGGGAGGGAGGGCAGGACAGGGTGGCACTGAGAGCCACCCTGTGGCTCGGGGCTCGGATGACTGAGCAGGCAGATATCCCAGCAACAGGGAACAAAAGCCCCCGACAGCACTCCTGGCTCCCCGTGCCCTGTGGCTGGTGTCCCAGAGCCTCTGTCCCCCTTCCCCCATCAGAGAAAAGATGGCAGGAGGACAGGCAGGAGCACTAGCCACCACGTCACCGACCCGTCCTTCCCACTCACCCAGTCCTCTGTCTCTCCTTCCTCCCTGTGCCCAGAATTCCATCCGCCACAACCTGTCCCTGAACAAGTGCTTCATCAAAGTGCCTCGGGAGAAGGATGAGCCCGGCAAGGGGGGCTTCTGGCGCATCGACCCCCAGTACGCCGAGCGCCTGCTGAGCGGGGCCTTCAAGAAGCGGCGGCTGACCCCGGTCCACATCCACCCAGCATTTGCCCGCGAGTCCACCCAGAAGCCCAGCACCGCCCCATGGGCCGGGCCGCTGACCGTGAACACCGAGGCCCAGCAGCTGCTGCGGGAGTTCGAGGAGGCCACCGGGGAGGCGGGCTGGGGTGCGGGCGAGGGCAGGCTCGGGCACAAGCGCAAACAGCCGCTGCCCAAGCGGGTGGCCAAGGTCGCGCGGCCTCCCAGCACCTTGCTGCTGACCCAGGAGGAGCAGGGCGAGCTGGAACCCCTCAAAGGCAACTTTGACTGGGAGGCCGTCTTCGATGCCAGCGCTCTGGGCGGGGAGCTGGGCACGCTGGAGGCCCTGGAGCTGAGCCCGCCGCTGAGCCCCGCCTCACACGGGGACGTGGACCTCACTGTCCACGGCCACCACATCGACTGCCCCACCACCTGGGGGCCTTCCGTGGAGCAGGCTGCCGACAGCCTGGACTTCGACGAGACCTTCCTGGCCACGTCCTTCCTGCAGCACCCCTGGGACGAGAGTGGCAGTGGCTGCCTGCCCCCAGAGCCCCTCTTTGAGGCTGGGGACGCTACTCTTGCTGCCGACCTGCAGGACTGGGCCAGTGTGGGCGCCTTCTTGTAAGATGCCAGGCCCCGCCCCACCTCTGGACAGCGCCCCATGCAGGGACCAGACCGCCCCCCCACAGGCCCATGGACCCCGACTGCCCAGGCGGGGGCTGGGCCCAGTCCCCGAGGTTGGCCCCAAGAGGCCATGTGTCCCCCAGCCCAGGCTGCCCTCAGCCTCCAGCCCAGGGGGCTGAAAACGGGCTCAGGACCAGAACTGCTGCCTCCCCTCCCAGCCCCGCATGTACACAGTGTTTCATCGACCCTCATCTCCCTGCCCCAGGGACCGGCTAAAGAGCCCCACACGGTGACAGCTGTGACCTGGAGGGGCCCTGGACAGGCTGGGGAGCAAGAGGACAGGGCCGTCCCTGAGCACCTCAGCGTCAAAGATTCTCCCTCTCCCACTTTCCTCCCCAGGTCTCTATCCAGAGAAAGTTCCCAGGTACAACAAATGCTAATTAGGTGACTGCAAATTAACCCCCTGGAGGGCTCTCTGGGCAAAGCCTCCCTGGGGCTGGGGCTGAGGCGAGCAGCAGACGGGAGGAGGGGGCAGAGAAGGAGACCGAAATGAGGTCCAGGTGCTGGAGGGGGCAGGGAGATTTTCTAAGGCGTCTGGGGTCTTCTCCTGGCCCCGTCTCGAAGTGGGGGGTGGAGGCAGGGCAGAGGGTAGAAATCCCTAATTTTTGACCCCAACGGGAGGCTGAGGTCAGCAAGGAGTTGGGGTTCTGGGAGACGGGGGCAGGGGCAGCCAAGCTGCGGGGGGCGGGGACAGGCAGACTAACGTAGTGCGAGTAGTATATAGCTGAGCTTTAACAGGGAGGGACGTCCAGCCTTCCCAACAACCGGCCAGGAAGGGGTGGGGATCTCCCAGTGCCCCTGCCTGCACCGTGGGAGGGAGCGCCCTGCTCCACCCCAGCACCCCAGGCTGCGTCCCAAATCCATCCTCGTGCCCCATGGGGCAATTTAACCTTTTTCATGGAAAATTATTTACAATAAAAATTTTTTGAAAATAAAATTTTTAAAAACCTGAAAAACGAACCTGCTTGCAACTCTCTTTGGGTAAAGGGGAAGGCAAGTTTTTGAGGGGAGGGGCCTTGTCTTTGATGCCGAGGGGGAATGACCGGGAGGGAGTTGGGGGGGTCACCGAAGGCCTGAAGACAGAACTCCCCACTGTCGGTGAACTCCCCGCAACCTCTGCGTCCCCAGGTAGAGAGGGAGGGAGGGAGAAGCAGCCTCGGGCAGCGGGTTGCGGGGACAGGGGATGCCCGCAGCGCAGGCCTCAGCGCCTCCATCTGCGCAGTGGGGAGAACTGCGCCCACAGCCCCTGGGGGTGCGAGAAAGGAGGCACAGCCCCCTCCCCGGCCCTGGGGACCCACAAAGGCCGAGCCCGCCCAGGGCTCCGCTCAGGCGTCCCCTGCCACGCGGGCCTGCCTGGGCTTGCCTGCCTGGATCTGCTGCCCCCGGCCCGGGCTGGCCTCCAGCACCTCCCTCCCTGGTTCTCTCCTGGAGCGGACGGTGTGAGGTCAGAGGGCCCCAGCCCAAGGCCCCCACGTCCCTCCCTGGCACGTGTTCAGCAGCCTAGCGCCTTCCCCCCGGCCCACCGCAGGCCGGAGCAGGAGGAAGGCCACCAGGGAACTTGAGGGCCCAGACCCTGCTTCCCCACGCAGGCGGGCAGGTCTGCTCCGTGAGGCAGCCACCTGCTGGGGTTCTGATGGGGAGTGTGAGGCACAGAGCATGTGATTGTGCAACACACGGTGGCACCTCTCGGTCCCCTCCCCCCAGCTTTGTCTGGAATCCACCTCTCCACGCGCCCCTGGGGGTGCTCAGCCCCTCCCCCAGCAGATCCCCCACACACACTGGCACAAACGGGCACTGTCCCACACAGTCCTGCTCGGCCTCCACGGACCCCGTCCCCCCCCCAGCCTCTTTCTTTCCCTTCAGTCAAGCCTGGCTCTGGGCCAGCCTGGCATTCCGCTGGCTAACTTGCTGCTTTCACTTGCTAATTATTCCAAATATTTCAGAAGGGCACACACACTGCAGGACTGGTGGGGTTGGGGCCTCACTGAGCCGGAAGCCAGCCTACCCGCTTCCCACTGCCTCTCTCTGACTCTCCCCTCAGCCCAAGCAAACCCTCCTTCCCTTCCCTCGCCATGCACCAGCCTAACTCGCTAGTGGCCCCCAGCAATGGCGGGGGGGGCGGCGAGCTGGGCTTCTCCACGGGGTCCTTCCAGCCAAAGGGGTTACATCTTGGATCGACAAGCAGGGCACGCCACCTTCTCTCTCTCCTCACCCTCTGCCCTGGCCCAGAAGAAGGGCAAGGTCAGGGGCAGGTAGAACTGCCCAGGGAGTGGAGCAGAGGCTCTGTCTCGCCCCTGGCTGCAGGGCAAAATCACTGGGAGCTCCTGAAAATCTCTGTGCCCAGGGCCAGAGTAGGGATCCAGGCACCAGCTTCGTTTAAGGGTCCCCAGATGCCACCAAAGCCAAGAGGCTGCTGGAAGGCACAGGCCTTCCCAGGCGCCCACGCAGGCAGCGCCGGAAGACGGAAAGCGTGAATTTCAGAGCCTGTCTCTCCCACTCCTCCCTGCCTTGGTGGCTTTTTAAAAAAGACACTCGTTGACCTCATGTTTGTTCAGGATGCAGTGTAATCCCAATCCCAACACTCGGCAGCATCGGACAGTAAGCTGCGGAGACAGTACTGCTCATCAGCACCAACTGCAAGTGTGTGCACGCCCATAGAACAAGAACATTCGTACCTAACCTCTGTGCCACCGTCGACCTGGTGGCCCATCTAACCTCAGACCCCGTTCGCAGGCTGCAGACCGCCCCCCCCGGAAGCCCCTCCCCACCCAGCACCCCAGCCCGGATGACAAGGCGCCCTGAGCGGGTCCCTCCTCTCCTTTAATCCCCACTTTTGAGATGAGAAGCCCCTAGACCACTTCATTCTTGGGTGTAGGGGACAGCCCTTCCCAAAGAAAAGGCCGCCTTTCTGTCCCCTAACTGGCTACCTTTGCCCCATCCTCCCTCCTCCATGGATCCTCAGCCAGGAATGTGATGGGGGCGAGGGCAGCAGCTTCGACCTTGGGGGCCCACCCCCTCCCTGCCCAGAGCACATCCTGTCCCTCTGGACAGGCCACCACAGGCTCCTGTGACTCTGGGCCGTTTGGAAGGCGCCTGGGATTCCCATCAGCCCCCAACTCTGCACTGTCCCCTAGCAAATGGCCAGGCACCCGCAGAGCTGAGTTGAGGACAGGACTCCCTCCCCGCACCCACACAGGGACGCAGACTTTTAGAGGGAAGAGGGGGAGCTGGAGGGCGGGGGAGAAGGGGTGTGACGTGTGACGGCAGCAGCGGCGGGGGGGGGGGGGGCAGGAATCAGGAGCACTTCCGCCCTGGGCCAGGCCCAGAGGTAAACAGGTGGACGTGGGCTCCCAGCAGGGGGCGTGGGCAGGCCCGGGCCTGTCCAGGTGGAGCTGTGGCGGGTGGGGGGCGGAGGGGGCTGTATTAACAATGGGTGGAGAGCGGCCCAGGTCCTGCCGACACATTCTTGTGTAACGGTGAGGAGACAGCGCAGGTGACAAGGGAGGGGAGGCGCGCCGAGGCCGTGGCGGGCTGGCTTCATGAGGGCAGCCATGCTGGGGCTGCGCTGGCACGTGGGAGCTCTGGGGGGCCACCACCCTCCTGGGGCACAGGCGTCTGTCCCACACCACGGCGACTCCAGGTGGGACAGGGGCAGGTCAGAGCCCTGTAAGGAGCATGCTGGGGCCTGATTGTTCCCTGTGTTCTTCAGGAGCTGCAGGGACCAGCTGGCGGGTACTGTCCCCCAGAAGCCAACCATCCAGAGGCGGGTGTGCAGGGAGACGCAGAGTGCACACTAACTAAGAGGGTGGGGTGACAGGGCCGAAGGTCCAAAGCCTGCTCCCCAGCTCCGGCACAGCCCCGCCCCCGCCTGCTGCGCCGGCTCTGAGGGCAGGAGAGCGGCCTGCTCCCCGTGAAGGAAGCAGCTCGCCCAGCTCCCAGGACAGCAGAGTTCCAGGAACTGGGGAGGGCAGGCCATGTGCCCGCGGCCCACCCCGCCAACGGCCCCCGGGGCCCTTTGAAGCCACAGCCAATGCCCACGGCCCTCCCAGCTGTTTGCCCAGGGAATTAAGCTGAGCGGAGAGGCCGCCAAGCGCTCTTGCCCCAGCCCCTGCCCCCCTGTCCCCCTTCCTGCTTCACTCTGGACACCAAGCCCTGTCCCCACCAGCTTCCTCCAACTTGCTCACAGTGAGCCTTGCTGGGCCAGGGTAGCGGGTGGGCCGGCCGGGTGGTGAGCAGGGATATGCAGACCCTGCGGCCCAGTTTTCAGTCTCAGAAGCTGTGGAGTTGGCAGACGCCTGTGTGCGGAGAAGCCGCCTGTCTTGCTCGGCCCTCCGTTCACAGCATGAGGTACAGGGTCCGGCGTCTTCAGGAAGGACTGAACGAACGTATGTGCTGCCTGGGCAGGGGGCACAACATAGAGAAACAGCCAGGCGGCCTTGGCCGACTTCCACGCACGCGTGACCACGGAGGCAAGGGGGCTGCAGAGGTGGGGGAGAGAGCACTCAAGTCAGCAGGCTCTTGGAGGAAAGCCCCAGGCTGCCCTGTTCTGGGAACAAGGGTTGTGGGGGGCTTTTGCATGAGACAGGGGGCCCCTGAGTGCCAGCTGAAGCTGAGCGGGACGTGTGGCAGGTGCGAGCCAGGCGAGGAGGGGGCGGGGGGACAAGGCAGAAAGGGTGGCAGGAGGTGGGCGAGGTGCGGCCTTCCTCACCCTCACCCTCACCCTCACCTGCTCCTCTGGTCCCCCATCCCCTGGGCCCAGGTCCCGGCGGCGGGGATCACAGAGGGCCAAGGGGCAGGGCTGCTGTGGGGAACCCGGCATTCAAGCCTCCCCCTCACACCCTCAGGGTCAGCAAACGGCCTTTCCACTCTCGGTACCCCAGCTACAAGGTCGCCAGGACAGAGCTGCGCCCGGCTCAGCTGTTCCTGCCTTGTCCCACTGGG